AAATTAATCAGACCCTAGGATTAAGCAACAGTAGGTCAAAGTAGGATGAAAGCAGTCGTTGGCGCATGGTGGGAGTCTCGTGCATTTGGTAGACACTCAGCAAACCCCGCAGTCCTAGCCCTAGCGTAGTCCCGATTTGTTTCGGGTTAGCATCCCCATATACCCTATCTTCTATCTATTTAAGGGGGCTGCTGTCAAGGAACTGGAGAGTTTAGGGTTTAGGTGAAGGTACTAAGCAAAGGAGGCCACATCATTTCATAGATACTGTGCGGTGGTAACTCAATCGAAAGTCCTTGGCCCGTGTACCTATTGTTGCAAATTTGGATGTGAGAAAACAATGAAGGTAATGATGATGGGCATGTGAGAGGGTCCAGGTACCCTCTCTTGAAATCACCATGCTGCGGCTCAACCTCTCATCTGCGCCTTGAAGAAGAAACTCAAAAACCCTAAACCTTAAACCCGCTTCTATGCGACACCTCCTTGGCTTTAGAAAGCTCTGCAGATGTCAAAAAGGTTTAGGGTTTAGGGGCTCTCCAAATTGAGATCTCCCTTTTTCTTGGCATTTCCGTCAGTTTGTAGGGCATCAGAAGAAACTGATGCACAGCTTGGGGGCAAGAGCCTCGCAGCTTCTGAGCACAATGTCCCAAACCCTGCAGCAGGGTTTCCAACCATTAGCGGCCCCTCTGATAACGCGTAATTAGTATATTGGGGTCTATATTCAGACCCCTCATTCTCGAAAACGCTCAAATCATGTTGGGGTCGGCTTCCTATCCACTGTGCAGGTTTTGCAGCCTAAGACAACCTTCGGGTCAGCCCCGCCAATCCCCCATATCGCCATGGTCTATCCCCCCCTCATTTTCGTGTAGGAGGTTAGGTGCAAGATATCCTCAACCCATTTCCCCATAAACCCTAAACCCAAACCAATCCCCCCCCCAGACGGAAATATAACCCCACAACGGGGCCTACGAAGAGTATCTCTTCAGGAGGGAGCCGTGGGATGGGTTGAGTGCAGCACTGAACCCTAAAGACTTGGTTCCTTTTTTTTTGGGGGGGGGGCGTCTGTCCATGGAGCACAATACACCTTAAATAAGGTATGTACCTTGCATGAGAATTACAAGGACCCCCTGATATGATCTTGGGGTATATTCCTCAATCAAGGGGTCTGGTCACGGTGAGGTCATCCCCTCTCATAGGGAGACCTATGGCAAGAGGAAATACCTAACAGCAGTTAAAGACTGTTCCCATAAGGGGGAGGGACCCAAGGTGTGAAGGTAGTGTAGCGGCGTCAATACTTACAAATTTCACTTTGAGGTGTAGTGGAGGTACCCTACACTAGAAGTGTGACAGAGGTTCTAGGACTTCAATATATAGGCAACAATCGCCATGAGGCCCTTGTAAGACCCTACCCCAGCTTCCATGTCATTTTCCATTTTATTCTCCATTGTGGCAACTAGGCACTGTCCCCACCCAGTACCTCGGTTGCAATTATGCCCTAAAAACCCTAGACCTTAAACCCGATATCCGTGCTTGCTGAATGCCATGCCCGTGCCTAAACCTACACCCTAATTTGGGTACTGCCCCCCCTCAGTAACAGTTGGATAATAAGTATAATATGGTTATATACATATATATCCCTTAATAGGACCCCTAATATAGACTGTTATACTAGGAGGGGGCAGTACCCAAACCCTAACTTTACTGTGCTCCTTGGGTGCGAGGTACCTGAACCCTAAACCCCTAAACCCCTAAACCCCTAAACCCCTAAACCCCCAAAACACTAAACCCTTAAACCCTAAACCCCTAAACCCTAAACCCACGTAGTTTACTGTGCTCGTGGAGTGCTAGGTACCTGAACCCTTTCTGGCAGCCTGGGGACGGTGCTGAGCTCCAAATCTTCCCCGAGGCTGGTCTTGGAGGGCTGCCCAAAAGCCTTGAGAATCCCCACTTAAGGTTAGGGTTTAGAGTTTAGGGTTTAGGGTTTAGGGGATTATGGGGTCAGGGTTTATACTTACTTAGCCAATAGAAGAGCTTTAACCTTTTTTGGGCTTCCTTTTTGGGTCTCTGTAATGAAGTTTAAACTTTTTTAACCCTGCTTATTGGGAAAGAGGTTGCGAGAACTGGTCATGGCTGTAGTGAGACGGTTCAAAGTTAATTCAAGCGATTCAAAGTAGGAAGGGCAAGCCAGGATGAAATAGAGGCTTCCCCAAATTTGGGGTACCTTCTTGGGGGTCCTGATAATAAGGATTATCACGTTTTGGCGTCTATTTTTTGGTCCCCTCATTTTGGGACACTACCAAATGTCAAACTTGATTTAAACGTAAACAAACCTCTACGGAAAACACATTGCCAGCGGATGCAAAGGGATCTTGCGGCGCGCGGTAAGAGCAGGTCTAGGTTATAGCCCCTAAGCCCTAAACCCTAAACCCTGAGCTAGTGC